TCAAAAAATATTTATACTGTGCTTTAAAATGAATGACACCTAAGTTTAAAAGCTTTAACCCAATCCCATCTGTAACTTCCATTCCACTGCTAAGCTGCTGCTCATTTACTGTCAGAAAGCTGTACAAAATAAAAGGTTTAACTTAAAGCATCAATAACTAAAATACTCTAAGCACCTTTACACTGCAAAAACGATCTACAAATAAGTGAAAAATTCCTTAAATAAGTGTATTCACCCTTGATTTGAGTAGGTAAATAAGAAAGTTTGCCAATGGAATGAGTAATTTTACTTTTAAAATAAGATAATTAGATAATATGTACTTGAAATAAGACAATGCAATAGTGTTTTCTTATTTTAAGTGTAAATTGTCTTGTTTCATTGGCAGAATGTCTCTTTTACGTCCTCAATTCAAGAACAAATGCACTTATTTTAAGAAAACAATGACTTATCTAGATTTAGATTTCTTGCAGTGTACCCTCCTTGAGGCAGCCGTAAGTGGTGCTTTTTGCTCCATCTTTTTTTTAAGACAATTATTGGTACTTATGTTTAACTTTTCATAAAAACTATTTTAATTTTGGAGATTTGCCTTCACATCCCAGAAGCTGGGGCTTAAAAATTTAAGAAAAAATGCATTTCAAGCGTCTAATGTTCTAAGTGCATCAAAATTTCCTTTGTGTTTTATTTAGATACTTTAGAGCTAACTTCTTTAACTTTATGCTGACAAATCATACGGTAATGATCCTTTAGATAATGTGAGATATATGGCCATCTTACATAAAGGGACTGTGGCCTTCTTTTTAAGATATTTCAGGAAACAATTTTGATCAGAAACTTAAATTAAAGTCACATTCCTTCCCGTAAAGCTGACGTAGCTTATTTAAAAATCTGCCGTGATAAAGCATATTGGGTCTCCAGCTTCAGATGTGAAAATCAAATCACATTTTTTTGTAAATTACACATCTGAAGTTCACAGAGATACACAAATATTAAAGAGCCTTTTATTTTCTCCCCACTCCCCTCCACAGTCAGGCTCTCTCTCTCTCATCCAAGTTTCCAGGCCAGCTCAATGATCGGTCTAGACTCAAACTCGTGTTTACAGTTTTATGTAAACAATCTCCAGGAAAAGTCAATTATAAAACCATTCTGCGTTCACGAGCCAGCAGAGCTGCTTGGTAGAGTTTGGAGGGCAGCAGATTGAGGGGAAACTGAGGTGCAGTACTGGCAGACGGCAGCAGGAGGAGCCAGAGATGTGCTCACAAAACTTCAGAGAAAGTTAAAAGGTAAACAGAACAGCAGAAAACTGAGTCATTGGCACATTTAACAGGCTTGGTATATAAACTTAAGGCTAATTAAAAAAGTCTGAGGCATTTGGGTCAAGAGAGAAGAATAACCTGGGAAACTTCATCACTTACTGGAAGTTTTCCTCAGATTTACTCCTTTTGAGAGACAAAACTAAACTTAAATTTTGGTTGTTGCAGAGAAATTCTGCAAATAATTAGATCTCCAAAAGATTTTTTCTCTATTTAATAAAATATACAAATATGATTATGAATCAATGGCTGGTCGATCCAGACTCCTTGGGTGATTTATGAACAGATATCACTAACAGGCCGTGATCAGATAATGTAATCGCATACAGGAATGTGACCTTTTCAGGTCTATCAGTGTTTATATGTTTTCTTACTGTCTTAGCGCCAACTTCGAGCGCTCAGACACATGGTAAAAAACTAAAAGTATGTTTAATAAAATCTCTTCTACTGCATATGAATGTTAAAAGAAATGCTAGATAACCTGTTTTAAGTAAAAGCAAAACAACGTTTTAATTATATAGTATTTAAAATCTGCTTCAGACAAAGTATTAAACAATTAAATATATTTACCTTTATTTGCCCCCCTTTAAATTCCAGCTCCTGTCGCTCATCAGACTTACGAGGTGTTTCCAGGTAAAAACAGACGTATGGTTCCATCTTCATACTGTCATGGTCTTTGCTCTGTTTCCTAGTTTTATTGGTTTAATTCCTTTTTTGTTGTAATTTCTAGATTTATGTTAGTTCTCATGTTTTTCTGTTGTCCTCTGTTGCCCTCTTGTTTGTGTGTGTTCCTTTCCCCTTGGCTCCCTCGTTGTCTCCTTTCACACCTGCTCCTTGTCAGCTCATTAGCCCTCCCTTTGTCTCTGTCAGCTATATCTGCTCTCTCTTTGTTGGTTCCTTGTCTTTGCTATCCTCCACCTACCTCGTCTCTCCCTGGCTCCTCGTGTTTGGTTTCTCCAGATGTCTCCTTAGTTCTGGTTTTGTTTTCATTATTAGTTGGGATTTTTGGATTCCTGCCTTTGTTTAATGTTTTTGCCCCATTAAAACTCCTAGAAATCTCCTCAGCCTCTCTGCATTTGGGTCCTCCAAACCAAACCCAACCTTGAGACACAGGTTTTGGTTCTTCTGAACAGTCTCCCAATTTAGATATAATAATAAAAAAAAGGAAAACACTATGTGTTTCATCAGAATAAAAAGCCCTTTCAGTCTGATGAAGCAGCAGCTCCACTTTAAACTATAACAGGATAACCCTTTCGATGTAGAGAAGCAGTAACTTGACAAGGCCTTTTAGACTGGGAAAGAAGGGGCTACATTTCAAACTACAGCCAAATAAAGCCCTTTAAAGGAATAGTACACCCAAAACATGATTAGCCTTTATTTTCTACTCACCCCCATGCTGAACAACACTCTGGAGTACTTTTTTGATATCTCAAATGCATCTGGAGATCTGGGAGGCTTCTTGCTGTCTGCTGACATTCAAATAATGGAGGTCTATGGCGCCTGAGGCAGAAAGGTCCATAAAAGTCCACAAAAAACGTGTCAATATTCCTCCATACTGCTCGTCCAATGTATTCCAAGTGTCCTGAGTGGGTAGCATCCAGAATTTACTCGAAACGAAGTCATTTTGAATGTTTTTAGAGCATAAACAGTAGTGTATAGGATTTCCTGAAAGCGCGCACATGCGCGTTCACGACGCTACGGAAGCCGGCAGACCAAACCAGCGCATTCAGCTCGGCAAAGAACTCATGCTCTTCCTCAACACTGAAGTCCTCAGACATTTTTCTTTCGTTGTTTCTTTCTTTGCACAGGTAAACAGCACATTTCTTCTTCTACGCTTGCATTATCGGCAGAGCAGACGCTGAATGCGCACTTTCATCTGGTTTGGTCTGCCAGCTTCCGTAGCGTCATGAACGCGCATGTGCGCGCTTTCAGGAAATCCTATACACTACTGTTTATGCTCTAAAAACATTCTAAATGACTTCGTTTCGAGTAAATCCTGGACGCTACCCACTCAGGACACTTGGAGGAATATTGACACGTTTTTGTGGACTTTTATGGACCTTTCTGCCTCGGGCGCCATAGACCTCCATTATTTGAATGTCAGCAGACAGCAAGAAGCCTCCCAGATCTCCAGATGCATTTGAGATATCAAAAAAGTACTCCAGAGTGTTGTTCAGCATGGGGGTGAGTAGAAAATGAAGGCTAATCATGTTTTGGGTGTACTATTCCTTTAATGTAGAGAAGCAGAGACTCTGAGCTCACTCAGAACAAGAAGCCTTCATGTTGGTGAAGCAGGGACTTAATTTTAAACATTTTACCATAAAGAAGCAGCGTCTCTAAGCTCAGTCAGGTCAACTAAACCTCTCCGATGAAGAGAAGCAGCAGCTCTACTTCAAGCTCTTCTGGGTAGCAGTATTTTGGACGCAGAGGAGCTCTCAGGGATAACTGAACCCTTCCATTGTTGGGAGCAGTGACTACTCAGAACACACTGCCACAAAACGGCCATTTTAATGTCGAACAGCAGCAGGCCTGGTCAAACCTCCGATAGGACAATAGAGCACCTTCAGTACAGAAGAACAGTGACTATACTATGATGTTTCTGTGTAATAGAGCCACTTCAGTAGAGAGGAGCAGCTTTCTCATTCAGGCAGATAAATCTTAAAACTTCTTTCAATCTCTACTCAAAGGAGGACATTATATCCAAAGCTACCTTTTTCTTTACTTTTATTTTAACTTCTTTCTACTCTAAAATTGCTAAAAAAAAAGCTATTCAGCAGGTTTTTTTCAGATTTGGCAAAACTTTTTTTAGTCGTTTTAGGTTTCCAGGTTCGAATTGTTTGCCAAAACAAATATTAGATCAAATAAAGACAGAGGAAGTGACCATTTTCACCTTTTTAATGAACCCTGATTATTGTTTAATTACAAATGAAGATGAACAGATACAGAATAGAAACAGAAGCTTGAAAAAAAAATAAAATAAAATAAAAAAAGCCCAGTCTCTCCTCTGGAGTGAAAATAAGAAGGGCAAGAGAGGAGAGACAGAGTATAAGAAAAAGATGTCAAATAATACAAATGTTAAAAATGTTAAACAGTACAACACTTTTTTTTCTCCATACAGAATCCACCATAATGAAAAAAAATATATACAAACTAAAAAGAAAAAGAAAAAAGAAGCCTGTTCTTCCCTCTCTGTGTGTATAACGTTGAGTATAATCCGACCCTCCAGGCGCCGTGAGAGCAAACCGGTACGAGAACTCAAACTGGGAACTCATGGAGAAGAAGTTGGGCTGCGGCACGAGGGTACGACTGAATCCAAGTAGTCACGTTAATAAAATAACCATCACAGGAGTAACAGTAATGCATGAGAACAGACGGTAAGGCAGCACAGGTCTAACAGTTTGGCTGGTTTTGTCCTGGAAACGATCCGGACGAGGCAACGGATGATCTAAAAATGGAAACCGAGTCTGGATGAGAAACAAATGAGGGTTGAGACTTTTTTCATGAGAAGCCGTACGACTGTTAGTAGACGGAGTAACCACAGAGCGCGCTCGCAAACACACACTGAGGGATTATGGGAAGTCCCTTGTCGCTCTGAGGTTTTGTGAAGCCGTTTCCTCCGTGTGTGTTTGGGTGTAGTTTCTGTGACTGCAGAGGCGTCTGATGTCATGTTTCCCTTTATTGTGACCGCATGAACCGGGACTCTGGGTGTTTTTAGCTGCTCCAGCTTCAGAGTAAAGTCCAGACCTGCTGTCAGATCTGGGTTAAACGGCTTGGTCCCGCCTCAGTCCGAACCATCAGGTGGGAACGATGTGAATCCGACCCCCCCCCCAAAAACAACTGCTTTAAAATTCCCCAAACCGAGGCTTCGCTGCAGAAATAAACCCATCAGAATATATACTTATATACACATCTTTACTATTAAAAATAGGGAGGATTTACCTAATTCATATCAAATGACCATATCGAAATAGAATATTTGATTCTAATATATATATTTGAATAAAATATATATGTTTTACAAAAGCCGAAGGCATGGTGGTTTTCTGAGTGAGCGATAATACGAGTTCCTGGGGGAGAAAAGCGACAAAAAGGCACGATTTTTGTTCAATTTGATTAATAAAATGGGCACAATATCTTTTATTCTGAGTAAAATATGTTAAAAATATATTTTTTATATCTCAGTGAAGGTTTGCCTGAGTTAGCCTTGATGCTCCACATTCATTACATGTTTCCTGCCCCTCCCCTCCCCCCCACAAAGACACTAATCAGTTTGTTTTCATGGTGTCTGCAAATGCCCGTAAAATACTGTCCATTCCATCCGGAGGAAAACGTCTCCCTTGATGGAAAACAAAAGAGAAAAAAAAGAAAGTCTTTTCATATATAAAAACAAAATAAGAAGCTGATGACAGGAAAGCTTGAAGGCAACAACGCTGAAAATGCCCTCAGAGGAAAAGTCGCAGGCGGCCGTCGGCGCCGCACGCCTCCTCAGAAACGAGCGGGCCGCTAATTACAGTCCTGCTAGAAGCTGCTCTGTCGTTTCTACGAGTGAGGAGAAACTGGCGAGGGAGACGAAGCCGCCGTCCGGTCAGACATCGTGTTGACGGTGTTACAGAGGGAAGCTTCCATCTTCCTCCCTTCCTCTCGCTCCGCTTCGTCCTCGTTTTCAGTATTTATGCGCTGTAGTGACGGGGTGTCGTCTTCTGGGCTGCAGACAGAGAGGCACTTCTATAATCTCTGTTCAGGCTGCTGATTCCTCCGTGTCTGGATCCGTCTGGGTTTCACGTCGGCTTTAGATGAAAAGGACAGAAACCGTCACATAAACTGGAGACGACCCAGAAAGCCGGATGGCCTCAAACTGAACCATAAAGACTGAATTTGGGCGTGAATGTGTGAAAGGTTTGAGCAGCTCCGTGCCGCTGCCATCAGGCTTTGTGTTTGTACATCTCTTAGTGTTAAAGGCCTGATGAGACACCAGAACCATTTAGGTTTGAAAGTTAACACGATTCTGCTCCGACAGCTCATTTTGTTCCTCGTTTTGCTCTAAATGCGTCATGGTGTCAAACAGAGGAAAACGTTTTGTTCATTCAGCTAATTTAGGGAGTTCAGGGTTATTGCACAGACTGATCTTCCAGCGAATGACGGACGAGTTCGGATACAAGTTAATTCATGGTTCAGTTTACCCTTTTTTTAACGTTAAATTCAAACCTGCTACGTTTACTAATGCTAGACTTCCTGCTCGGTCTGAACATGTGAGGAGGCCGGAGCTCAGCAGCCGGCGTTTTCCAGCGACAGCTGCGCCGTAGCCCTCTGCAGCTCCGAGCTCGCTCTGCGCTGGGTGGGAGCCGGAGGCAGCATCAGACCCAGGATCACTCCTCTTCCTCCTCCGTTATCCTCCTCTCCCTCCCTCTTCCCTTCCTCTCCCTCGCCTCTCACTTTCTTGTCCTCCGCTTCTTCTCTCTCTCCGTCCGCCTCCATCCTCTGGTCTTCGCTCCAGCGCCGTTTGAAGCGCAGTTTGAGCGGGATGCAGCGTGTGCCCCCGGGGCTGACGGGGGCCGCCTGGCCCGGCTCGGTCTTCAGGCCGATCAGGGGGAAGGGAAGTCCGCCGCCGCTGCCGGGGGGAGGGGTGGCGGGAGTTTTGAAGACCTCCTCGTCGTCGTCGGGGTCGTCTTCCGGGTTCATATGCGTTGGGGGCGGAGCAGAGGGGCTGCCGCTGCTTCGGTTGTTCAGATGAAAATGGCGGCTGCGGGATAGAGGGAGGAACAGGTCACCCTCCTCATCCTCGCTGTTCTGATTAAGCTCGTCTTCCTCGCTGATGTCCGTGACCTCCACGTCTTCCTCGGACAGGTCAGAGACCGGCTCCACCTGCAGAGGAACAGCAGGTTAACGGCGTCCGACTCAGGCGGACCTTAAAACATCACGGCGTGACCAGACTCACCTTGATCTTCGGCGGGGCTCCTCCTGCAGCAGAACCTGTTGTTGGACCAGAACCGGTGAACAAGGAGGAGTGATTGGAGGAAGAGGAGGACGCCAGGGAGCTCCCTGCCTCCCTCTGCTTGCGCCCGAGCGGCGGCGGCTGCAGCTTGAACTTGAACGGCGAGGGGTGTCCGTCCTCTCCGCCTCCCGGCTGTTGGCTGAGCGGGTGCGGCATGGGGGGGCCCTGCAGGTGGTGGGTGGCGGGCTTCTCGGGCGTAGGGCGGTGGGGCTGGGGGACGACGATGTTGGGGTAATGGAGGAAGGCGCGGGGGCTGAGGTGGTAGTTGTAAACGGACTGGGTGTGGGCCTGCAGGTAGTGCTTCATATCCTCAGGGTTGAAGGAGAAGTGGGAGCCCATCATGGGGGAGGAAAGGGAGGGGGACGGGGTGTAGGCCAGGTGGGGGGTGGGGGTCATGGAGAGAGCCGGGGACAGAGTCGGGCCCAGCAGGCCTCCGGGGCCGGGCAGAGGGGAGACGGGGAACGGGGACAGAGGGTCTGGGTGGACCCTGGGAGCGGGCCTGGCTAACCCGGCCGGGTTGGGGTGGCCCCCGTAGAACCTGAACAGAGACTCATGAGGCAGACGGGGGGCAAGGAGCCCCCTAAAAGCTCTGTCGGCCCCGACGGCTCGCTCGTCCGCCGCCGCCGCCTCCTCCAGCTCAGAGTTGGTGGAGGTGCCGTCGCTGCAGTCGCTGACGGAGCCGCGGGCCATGCGGCGGGCCACGGTGCTGAACACGCCCGGGCTGCGCAGCTCCTCACTGGAGGAGAGGACCTCTGATGGCGTGGAGGGCGGGAAACGGAAGTGGGTCCCTCCGGTCGGGACAGGAGGGGCGCTCTGGGGGACTCCCCGGCCTGTGAGGAAGAACATCAGAGTTTATTCTCACTGAGAGAGAAGCTCTGCTGAAACTAAAACTAGTATTCACTCCACAAAACTTTTCTACATTTCTACCCAAAAAAACAAAATAATTAAAGGAAAAGTTGTGTTATACAGACTTAGCTCAGCTTTATTTTGAATTTTAAAACCACTGCAAACTCAGGATTAGATTTTCTTAGATTAAAAACATTCTGTTAATCCGTTTGTGATACTAGATAATTCAGTTAAATCCCTGAAGCCAGACTTTAGGTCTTCAGTCTGAAGGAAGGATAAAAACCGACTGATCAGAGATCAGAATCGGCGCCTCGATCGGCTCTGATCAATAATCAGCAGGTGAAATAAACAGAAAGCATCTCTTCCCTAAATGGAGCCAAGCTAATAACCCCACCCCCACTTTTAGGCTCCAAATCCATCAACAATCTTAATTTAAAAAATTTTCTTAAAACATTTATGGATAAATACTTTGAAACGTATTTAAGGATAATCTTATATATAAAAAAAACTCTCTATAACACACCTGCTGACATTATTGTCTTTCCTATTTTAAATAAAGGATAGAAGTTAAAATATTAACAGGTAACAATTTTAGCTAGCAGCAAAATCTTGAAGTCAAACAACCTTTTAATGATTTTAAAAACTATAAAACTGGTTTATGATCTGATTCTGAACATACATGGAAGTTAAATGTAGTGGATATGAGATTTAATTAAAAATAAGCTTTTTAGTTTAGCAGATATTCAGAATTTGACCTGCAGGTAAAAAAGGAACAAAGTCTTCAACCTTAAACATTCTTCAACCATCAATTTTCATTTGTCCTAAAAATCAGGCAGATTAAGTGAAATTATTGAATTATTCAGACTTTTAGAGCCGTTGGAAAATGTTTTACAGACTGTATAATTTATGTGAGAAAAGCTAAGACATGTTTCTAGGGGACCTTTTATTCTGTGACACCAGTAAAGGAATATTGAAGCTTTTGAAACATCTGTGAGTCTAAGCCTCAGTGATGCAAACGATCTTTGATCAACATGGAAGAAGCTACTGAATTGAACTATTGAATGTTGTTGTAGATCTAAGGAGCTGCGATGGTAGAAAAAAATCAGAAATTAATCATCTAGATCGGGGGTCTTCAACGTTTTCCAGGCCAAGGACCCCCAAACTGATGGCGAGATGGAGCGGGATCCCCTAATTATATATATTGTATGAAATTGTGTTAAACTGGTCCTATAGTCACTCTATTACAGATGGAGTAATGTAACCAAAGTAATTTCTCCCTGCGATTATTAAAGTATTTCTGATTCCTCATTGATGGGACAGGTGTTGTGAATGAAACGGTGCCCAGATTGAAAGAGCTCCTGTGTGTCGCTGAATGTGAGCATTGATGACTGAAAGACATCTTCTGCCTCCATTTATCTGTTTACTACAGTCTGTTCAATTCATGTTAATGTTGATTTAAAGACATTTCAATTAGTGGAAAAAATTGTACGGGGGAATATAAAAGAAAAAATAGTCTAATGACCCAAAACTTTGACACCCTGTTGAACCCGATTTAGATAATGACAACCTGCTTGAACATATTTTCAGTAAATTTTATTTTGATTCAGGGAAAAAAAACATGTACAAACTAGATTAATTTAAATTATTAACTTAAACTTAATTTAAACTTTGGATTTGTCTGGAACATAAAAGCTGATGCAAGCGACGCAGCTTATATGCTGGTTTTTAAGCAGACGCTGCAAAGTGCAGAACACGCTCAAAGCTCATAGGTCTGCTTCTGGCTGCATGGACCTTACTGCCTCTTCCTCTAGTTATCAGCTCTGAATTGGGACAGTCTAACATGGGGAAGATATAACCCGTTATAAGGCAAGATACTGTTTTTTATCACTTGCTTACCCCTTACTAATGGAGTCCCCCCCCCCCCCCCCCGTCCCTCAGTGAGATCTAGAAGCACAAAATCTATATCCAGCCATTCAGCAAAGATGCTGCTACATGGCTGTACATCTTATTGGCATTTGACCAATTAGATGAACCCTTGAATGATATTTTAGCGACTGTAAAATAAGTTGGAAAAAAAAAAAGCTAAGAGGTCAAGAAAAAGGTAAAAAGCTAATTAAAAAATTAATAAGCCGAGTTAACATTTATATTTAGGTTTCTAAACTAAAAAAATCTACGTCACTATCAGCATTAATGCCTCTAAGGTTATGTTGTACAGAAAAAAATGTGTTTCTTTCACTTTGTGTGTTTTTCATAAATTTTTAAGAGAAGCACTTTTGTTATTTTTCTTAATATATTCGGGCAAGTTGGTATTTTTTGTTACTATATTGAAATAAATTTTTACCACCAACATATACATCTTATAAGGAATTGTCCTGGATTCTAATAACACTATTGCCTTGAAATTTAGATTTTCAAAGTATTTCAATGAGTGCCCGATAAAGGGTTAATACACATACGTTTTGACGCCCTAAACGTGTCTTAACCAGCTGATTAGAGTTAACTTGTTCCAACTACTAAGAACTGCAGTTTAATTTGAGACGTGATGTTGTTTTCTTTGTTTGGCAAAGAATGGACGCCCGTAGGCGCCTGCAATGAGGATCTAAACCTAATTTAGGCTCACTGTAGTGTAAATACTAACGTTGAACTGCAGTTGGTGTAAATATCTCTACAGACCCCAGCAGAAAGGAGTTGCAGTCTGAAGCTATGTGTAATATGTGTGCATCCTGCATTAATTGGATTAATCTACCGTATTTAAATAATCGTCAACTAATTTAGTAATCGATGGACTCTAAAACCTGCCTTTAGCTGACAGAGTAACCCAATTAGAGCAGTAAATATGTGAAAATCGTAAAAAAATATACAAATATTTCACATTTAAGATAAAAAAAAACTTTTCTTCTATTAATATGCTTAATGCAGAACTTCTCAAGTGGAAAAGTTTTAGTTTCACTTGGTTTAAATCTGTAAAAAAATACTCTTTAAGGAACCTTTTGCTTTCAGATAATTAATAAAAAATAATCTACAATTTCACTTATAAATAAATCAGATTATTAATAAAAAAATCTACAATTTTACTGATAAATATATCAGATTATAAAAAAAAAAATCTACAATTTAACTGATAAATATATCAGATTATTAATAAAAAAATAATCTACAGTTTAACTGATAAATAATCGTTAGTTTCAACCATAATCATGCACTGTAACTTGTTTGGCGTTGTCTTTCCTTTTTATATTTTATATGAATAAATTATGCTGATGTAGGTTCCCAGTCATCCAGGTCATAGTCATTCCGTAAGAAATTCAAAAAAATCAAAAAATATCCACTTCAAATCTTGGAAACCAAGTCCAGTGGATATTTTTTGATTTTTTGAATTTTTACGGTATGAATAAATTACTGACATTAAATATAAAAAGGAAAGACAATGAGTTCTTCCAGATAAAGGAGAGACTAAAGAACTTGACCCAGTTTTGGACCTGAGGAAACGCATCCGACAGGTGAAATGGTTCTGGGAAACGTTCCAGGTCACAGATTTAAACTCTCCTGTTTCTCTGGACTCTAAAGCTATAAGCAGTGAGAGAAACGTGAAGGTAGAGTCTGAGGAGTTCCTTCAGTCTCTGCGCTCTGCCTGTGGCGCTGCAGTAAATTCTTGGCATGGAAGCACACGCCGGGATTAAATATTGGAAAAGTCGATCCGGCTGCCATTACAAACATGGGCTGGGTTCCTCTGTTTTTTTCCAGCGCCTGCCATTTAAAAAAAAAGGAAAAAGAAACCCCATCTGTGCCATGTGTGTCAGGAATGATGAGTGGAGGGAAACTGCATGTGTGTGTGTGCAGCCATCATATGAAACCATCATATCACAACATGTCAGTGTGTGGGCCACATCACACGGAGGCTATAATTAAAGTTTCGTGCTGCACTTATGTCACCCGGTCTCCAACGCTCCATATGGGCTGTGTTTACACTGGGTGGCCGGGCCCAGAACGGCTGCGGACCGAGGAGGAGAGGGATAAACGCAGACGTGGCACACGCCGTTACCAGGCAGATAAACGCATCAGGCCGCTTCACGCCTCCACAGCAGCCAACCTGCTTCAGATTTGTTCCACTAATGAAACAACATGTTTAAGGGGGATTTTTTTTTCTTTTGGCTAAAGATTGTAAGGAAGCCTGCTGAGAAAAAGGTTGCTCAACAACTACCCAGAAGGCATTGGGAAACAGGAAATAAAGTCAGTCTGTTCCCTCTAAAAGGTTAAAAACACGTTTTATTCTGATGCGTATCGGCTGGTTTTCTCCTTCCTGTTGCAGCAGAATTCAGACCCCGCTCTAACCCCCCGATGGTGGGAAAGGTGAAGCTGAAACTGCTGCTAAAAATGTTCAAGATCTCGTTTTTAAACAGATATTGTGTCTTCTGTTTGGTCAGATGTTCTGAATCATTAAAAGACCCAAAAATTTTCTAAAAAACCGTTGTACCCACATTTAGTATCTAAAATGTTGAGAGGCTTTTGTAAAAAACAGGCCCACAGCATCACACATCCACCCTCGTACCAAACAAGATCTCCTGTCTGGCTCATCCAGGCAAAGCCACATCGCTCCCATCCTCTCCTCCCTGCACTGGTTCCTGCGGCGTTTTCGGACACACTTGTTTTTGAAGCCCTTCATGGTCTCGCTCGCTATATTAAACTGAGACGTTGACAGTACATCGCCCCAGCAGAGCAATCCGGTCTGCCTTTTTTAAACTGTCCTGGATGTCCTTAGGTTCCGGTATAAACCGTAGCTGGTTACCGCGCCTAAGCTGTGAAACATTCTGCCCCTCCAGGTTTCCTACAGCATAAGGCAAGTTAAATTCAAGACTTTTTAAGACTTTTTAATGCCACTTGAAATAAAAATTTAAGACCAAATTCACAAGAAACACAAGAAAAACCTGCTTGCGACAACTTAACCCAAAGGTTTATTTTAACATAAACCACTGCACTAATGTTTTTAAATGTTGAAAAGCTTCCCATAAAGGAAGAAAGCTAAAAAA